AAAAAAAAGGTCTGACAGGGTAACTAACCCATCAGCTTCTTAAGACCTCGGCCTGTTTAGAAGTATAAGAGAGTTACTAAATTTAATGTCTCTGTTCTGGGTGGATCACTTAACAATTTAACGCATTCAACAATGATTTGCTGAGCACCTGTTTAGTGCCAAGCCCTGTGCTTGGTGCTAGGCAGGTAATGATGGATTTCAGAATACACATAATCCCTGCCAGAGCAGCATCTCCAGTCACATGTTCATGTATAATTACAAACATAAATGAATACAGGAGTAGTGATGAATTCCACGAGGTAGGTATACCATAGGAGTAACCCTGGTCAGGGCACCTGTGCTTCAGCGTCTTCAGTGTATGCTAGAGCCCAGCGTTCACAAGCTTTGTTGTGTCTATAGCGACCCCTTTAGATCCAGATCTGCTGCTTTCAATTTCTTGATATAGTTTTGTCTTGTACTGAGGTCCCTTCCCACTGTCACCTCCATTACATAATGCTCAAGACTTCAAATTCAAACTATCAAAGACATCATCGTCCAGATCTTCATGACGGCTTTTAACACCTTTCCCTGCTTCCCCCGTGTGGCTGGCCTTCCTCTTCTGCATACTTCTGATACCAACTGGGACTTTTCTTCTTGCTACCAATTGGAACAGTCTTAAGATCTAAATTGTAGCCAGAAATCTAGTAAAAAAATTGATGCAAGCAACCTATTAATAAAGAAAATATAGAAACACAAATTGAAATGACTCTTTGTAGACAGATGCAATTTCATTGTAAATCATTTCTGTTCAGCACTGTGCTGCTTGGGAAGGTTCTTTCCAATGATGGTTCATCTAAGGACATTTGAAAGATTTTTTGCAATTACAGTTCATCTGAGGATATTTTACTACTAATCAGGAAGAGGCAGTCATGTTCACTGCAGTAGGTCTTAGGTAGCCTTATTGTTCAGTTGCTGCCTAATTCTACAAAGTTAAGGGTTTGTGGGGGATCTCAGCACCATCATAGACGGTATATAAACCCATGTAGCATCAAATAATTTAATGTGAGGAGTCTGCATCTCTGTCGTCTAAGTCTAATGTCACTAATTCCTTAATACAGCCTCATCGTGTATTTAAGAAATATATAGTAAATTCTGATTTTGAAGTCCAAGACTTTTTCTGCAAGAGAACTCTGAAAGACCTCAGCATTGTCTTATCTCTGTCTGCTCACATTGCAGGGGACTGTGCCCTGGGTTTGATCAAGTGGACATCCCTTGCTGTTGGTCCCGAGCTGCCTGGTGAGTACCCTGTGGCCCCTGGGGAAGAATTATATTGATGGGTTTCTGGAACTTTGGACCTACAAAACAAGTATCTTCATCCGGTATCTCATAAAACTGATGCATCACATTTTTATTTGATGTGGTGCAAAGTCAAGTATAATCTCCTGGCATTTTTTAGGTTCCATTTTACTGATCTTCCACTGACTTGAGTGCTGTATTTTTTGCTAATATTCTGCTTGCTTCTTGTGGTAGTGCTGCCTTCATTTAGTGCATTTGGTGCTATTGAGGAAAAAGCGATGTGACTTTTAGTCCTCCATGGGCTTTGTTTAAAATATTCCCACCACTCTGGAAAATCATAGCCATGTTCCTTCACAGAGTTTATTTATGGGCGACTACCTGTGGGGGTAATGTCAGTCAGTTTCTTCGATACTCTTCTAACTTTACACATCCTTCATGAGATGCTGATACAGAGCCAGAAATACCTTCATATGGCTGATTTGTTTCATTTACAAATGAACTTTCCAATGCTTTATGCTAGTGCCAGATCCTAGCTGAGAGACTGCTTTCTTCTGATCCCCTTATCATTGCTGTTATATGTCTTGCCTGCCCCTTCTAACTTTAAGGGGCAAGAAGTCATTTTACAGTGCAATGAACCTACAACTTTGCTGTTCCTCTTAATAGGTGCAGTCAGAATCCGGGGCTTTTAATGTCACTCTCCTTCTACACTGCATGCCATGCCAGATGTGTCATTATCTCCTGGCACTGACCCTGGCTGATTTTCTTCCAGCCTTTCTGTGAGGGGAGGGAAGGATTGTATAACCTGACCCATCTCCAAATGATCAGTCTTTAATGATATAAGAATATCAAGAAAGTAGATTTATTATTGAATGTTCCTACCTATTTTTAGTGAAGTGCACTATATTTTACACTCCCAAGGGTGACTCATAATAAGCCTTGTCTTAGTAAGCACAGCAGAGTTGAGGGGTGTTGAGTAAATTTAAAGACTTTAAATCAGTAGAGATCTATCATTTGCTTTGTACTCTGTTGTGATTATATTTTTTTTCTGGACTATCCACTTGTATTTCAGTTATATTACCCACAGATAGGTCATTTCTCATTAGTTTAACTGTATATGATGACTTCTGATATGAAGAGTTCTCTGTTTAATATAAATACTTGATTCATGAGTCAAGAGAGCAAAGTGGAGAATTTGTTGCATGAGTTCTAGGAGAAATTATTCTATATTAAGTGGTGTAAGTACTGATACTTGATTTCATAAAGATTTTGGGTAGCTCTTGGTCCTAGGACAGTGGATATCATGTTGGGCCCCTTCCTTTCCCTACCCCATAGGACCTGCTTAGACTTGGGGTCACTTGGCTGTTGGTCAAGACTATTGTGATAGTCTTACCCTCATGATCTGGAGAGAATTCTTTTGTATTCCCCCCATTCACTTCCCCAAATAAAAGCACTTGGTCTCAGTTAAGCACCACTCAGTGGTTAGATATTCTGAATTTGGAGTTTTAAAAACATACTGAATGAAATTTGATTCTTTGTACAACATCTTCCCATACTAAAAATGGAAATATCTAGAACCTGGAGTCGGAATTGCTGGTTTTGTTTTGAAACGCTGTTTCATTTCTCCAGGATTCCCGCAGTGAGTTATTTCTGACTACATGCTAGTCCTAAGTGTTTTTTTGGCCCTTTCATGTCCACAGTGTACATTCGAAGTATATTTTAGTTTTTGTGTATTTTAGATCCTTTTTATTTATGTCACATTGAACTTATTACCAGTGTTAGTCAATAAACTTAAAAAAACTTAAAGTTATATAACAAACAAAATGAACTCTCTTTAGGTGGGTTGCCCTTATTTCATGTTGTTAAAAATTTATGAGTCTAGACAAACCAAAGGGCATTTTCAAGGTTGGATTTAAAAAAAGGGAAGACTCCTAAAATATGGCTCTTGAAAACTCTAATGTTTGTGGTACTTTATTCCTTTCTGAATTACTTTAAATTGTTTTCAATAAATATTTATTACATCTAGACTTTATAACAATATTAGATATGTAGCTTACCAAACTTAATGTTTCTCTGTCTTTGTTTCTCTTTCTCTCTCTCTCTCTCTCTCTCTCTCTCTCTCATTCACTCATTCTCTCACTTTCTCTCTCCACACACATACCTTCCTTGTAAGAATCTTATATGCTACCCTGACTTCTCTTATACCTGGAGACCCATATATGCTATTATTATGTATTAGCATCTTTTTTAAAAATCTAAGACCTATAATCTTGGGCACATGTAATGTGTTTCCGGAACAAAGATGTGGCTTGCTTTTTGAATAGTGGATTGCAATTACTTCACACTCTTGATTATTGAAGTTGTTCTTACTCATGCTATGGCAGTAGCAACCACAGAAGCCTATGGTTTCACATTTTCAGAGCATACTGAGTCAGAACTCTTGAGATCAGCCTGGGAGTATGTCATATGTGAAGACTGGAGGCTGTAGAAGGAGAAGAGGGTCATGAGTTCAAGACCAGCATGGGGTATAGATCAAGATTTTGTCTCAAAACACAAACTACCATCACAACAAAAAATGAATTGAATTTGAGATGAGGATTTCTTCACAAGTGGTTTATTAATTAGGGATCTCAGAGGAAACTAGAGAGTGGTACCATGGAAAAGCAGGAAAGGAAGGGAGTAGAAGTAAAATGCTAGCCCAGCGGAAGGGAGCTCTGAGGTCCTCAGCACAATTGCCTTGAAGAGTACTCTCTGCTCCAGCAGCCAAGCTGAGCTTTCCCCTTACCCCAAAAGCCTTTGGCTGTGTGCAGCACCCCTGTTCTCTCCCTCTGCAAGAGAACAGGCTCCCATGATGGAAATGATGGAAAAGGGCTCCACTTAAGAAGTTTCAGGGGAATAAGAGTTCAGGAGCCATCCCTTATAAGTCAAGCATGCCAGGGCTGGCCAGGAAGCAGAGGACAGTTGAAAGCCCAGTGGTGTCTGGGAGGGACTCTGAGTGTTTGGTCCACACAGCAATCTGCTTTCTTTCACTTGCTCCTGTCTTCCTGCGGTTATGCTCTTCATCCCTTCAGAAGTTAGGTGCAATTCATTTTCTTCCATTGAGAATGCAGTAAACAACTCCTTCCAAAATCCAAGTCCTCAAACGATTTCAGTGTTGAAGATACCTAGGTAATTTTCAGCCAGTAGAATTTTTACATGTATTAGAGTTAGAAAAATCTAGACTTTCAAAGCTTTCCTTAAATCAGTGTTATTATGAATAATGACTTTGGTATCATGAAAAAAGAGGGAAAGATACCATATGATTGTATAATTAGTATGACTCTTGAGAGAAACATTTCCAAGTTTACATGTTAACACCACTATTATCATCATCATCATCAGCAGCAGCAGCAGCAGCAGCAGCAGCATGATCATATCATTATTCTATATGCTAGGCAAGTGTTCTACCACTGAGCAACATCCCCAGCCTGACTTATTTTTTTGTTCTTATCTTGTTTAACTATCCTTTGAAAATGTTTTCACAAAGTTTTTAGGGAACTGAAATGCATTTCCTTGGTTACCTTAAGTTTCAAAATGACACAAAAGTTCATGTTTGTCCTTCTGAACTCTGAGACCAGTGCTGCCCAGTAAAGCAACCATGTGAGTTGTGCATGCCAATTTTAAACTCTCAATCTTCTAGTCTCAGTAAAGAAGAGAAACAGAGCATAACAGCCAAAGCTGAAGGCTGATAAGTCTGAAATTATAGGTTAAATTAATTTGAATAATGTATTTAGCCTAGCATATCCAAATTATTATCAGTAGATATTTAATCAGTGTAAACATTATTGAAATGTTCTGCTTTTTTTCAACTATTTTGAATCTGTGTGTGTGTGTGTGTGTGTATGTGTGTACATGTGCACATGTGTGTGTGTGTGCTTGTAGCCCAGAGAACAACCTTGGGTGTCATGCCATCTACCTTTTTCTTGATTCAGGATCTCTCACTGAACCTTGAGCTTGAGTAGGTGGGGCTGGCTCGTCAGTCAGCCCCAGAGAATCAATCTGTCTCTGCCTCCCCAGTGCTAGACTTACAAATGCATTCCACCATGCCCCATATTATGTAGGCCCTGACGATTGAACTCAGGGCCTTAGCTTACAAATTGAGCCCTATTCCCAATCCGCCTGTGTATTTTTTATTTATAACACATTTAATTCAGAATAGTGGTACTTTAAGGCCTCAGTAACATTTGGCTAGTGGACAAATTTGAGCAGTGTAAGTTTATAATGATATGTAAATGTCTGGTAAAAGGCTTTGAGATAAGACTTTGTCAGTGCTGGGACTCTCCCAGATTGGGACCCTAGTCAATAAATAAGTGAGGCAGCACAGATAATCGGCCACAGTGAGCCTATCCATCCTGGTGAGCTACTGTCCACTTGAAAGCTTTGCAGACAACAACTGAGGACAAAACAGCTGGATTTTGCAGGTGAGATGTCACTGGTGACCTTTAGGAATGAAGTATTCTAGGATTAAGTTTTGGGGGAATGAGGGTTGAATATGGAAAGACTTCAAAAAGAAAGAATTTAAAAGAAAGAATTGGATTTCATAAGTGTGTGTTGGGGGTATGTACTGGGGGAAGAGTCTAGAAAAATTTGAGTACATGTAGTCTCATGAAATAGCTGTGCTAATTATACTATAAGGAAGGTGGGGAGTGACCAGATTGCTACCAGTGTAGAGGCATCACCATGATCCTATATTTGTTAGAGTCAGCTCTGGTTATAGATTCTTCACAAGAAAATGGGGAGGCTTGAAATAACAATAATGACTTCTCTGACACCTCCTTTTTCTGTGAGTCAACAGTTTGGGGAGGGCTTCACTGTGTAGTTCTTGCCCAGGGTCTCCTCATGCAATGCAGTCAGTTGGCTACTGACTTTGGTATAAGAGCCTGGAGCAGCCAGAGGCTGACTGGGCATCTCTCTCTCATTACACAGCCTATCTTTTTCTCTAGGATGTCTTCATGAGCGACTCT